CGGTGCCGGTAGCAACAAAAACTACGGGGAACCATGCAAAAAACGCATCTTCGCACGGGCAGCCCGCGCGTTGGCCAATTTTTTTACTATGTGATGACGGGTACGGTACTGTTTAGGACGTGATGCGTATCGGCCCGACTCGACATATGGCAGCCATCGCACCACTGATTCTGGATACAGCAGCCGAGATATGGGAACATATGGTTCGTCCACCACTTATTCACGTGACGTTGGGTCATACAGCAAGGATGCTGGTACGTTTTGACACTTTCTCATTGTGGGAAGAGGGATAAATTATCTGTATTGTAGTAGTTTTTGCAAACGATACACCGCTTATGTTGCCGAACTTTCTGCAGCGAAGAAGACTGAGCGACGTCATCTCTTCCTTCTAAATGAGTCCGCCTAAACTGTGCTGATAGCAGTAACCCATTCACCAAAATTTATCATAAAGAATATGGAAGGCTAATGCAATCATGATTTGGTAAAAAACGTGGGGAGCTAATCATAATTTCTCGCAACACTAGGATATTTAATGTGCGTTGGGATTTGTTTTTTTCAGAAAATTCACTGAGCAGTTTAGGCTTAAAGCAGTTTAGCTATTCAAAAAGCATAAATGTATGGGTAGATGCAAGAGCACTTTTTTTCTGAAAGGGTCTTACGTGTAGCGTTGTGTCAAATTAATGATATTTTTAGACCAGAAATTTTGAAATATCAGGAAGTTCAACCCGGTTAACAGGATACTTACGGTCACCAGATGTAGATAGTTTTCTATCCGTGCTAATTTTGAAGGTTATGGTGGCGGTTCTCGCTCTATGGGCAGTGGTGGTGGCTCGTGGTCAGCTGGAGGAGGAGCGTCAGCATACGGAGGTTCGTCCCGTGACTACGACAACTGGATGCCGGGGATGTCTTCATCCCAGGGTCACGGAAGTCACGGAATGGGCAGCGGTAATTGGTCGTCTTCACGAGGTTATTTCCTGTTCTTTTCCTTATCCATAAAATACTGCGAAATTGCTGCAATTTTGTATAACTGATGTGCATTTTGAGACTCACAGTGTTGGCTCTGTTATAGATGCGCACTGGTCAGGAGGTGGCATGGGCGATGGACACGGACATGTCTCCTCTTATGACAAGTACGACAAGTATGATTCGTACGACAAATACAGCCGACGTTACTGACGCTCTGAATCCAACACATCTTATTTGTTTGCTTTTTTTATCGGATTTGACATCTAAATCGGATTGACAAAGGCCGGAAAAGAATGTATCTTGATGTGAGGTTGTTGTATTCGTTGCCTCTTGTGTATTAGTTTTCGCTTGGCATTTTCATGCGATCATATGCGTTTTTAATGTTTAGTGTTTATGGAACGGTCCTTATGGTACATGCGTCTCTACCTTTTTGTTGGTTTCAACGTGAAACATTTTCCCCGTCTTAGAAGAATTCTGTTTTTATCTATTTTTGCTTCTAAGTAGCTTTTGTTTTTGATTGTTTTTATCAATTTATTTTTGATTCTAAATAACGTCTGCTTCTGTTGGTGGTGTCGTGTAGAAAGTAAACTGTTTTTATCTTGCGGTTATAGTGACCCATTGTCTCGTTGCCAAAATCCCGCAGCATTATAGCTACTCGCTTGCTGCTTCAGACTGATTTCAGTTGCGTACTGATGTGCAGAACGATACTTTTCGAACAATCACATGCACCATTTAGTTTTTCAACGTAGAAAAGTACGGAAGCTAGTTGTATTGTGAATCGAACCGGAAATGAGTAGAAAAAAATATCTCTGGTATGCCACCCAGAAATTTAGCCACCGATTAAAAAACTGGTATTAAATTCCGAGAAGTGCAGAAAGCTGTTTTCGGCATCTTATCCTGTTCTACAAAAATCTGTCCTTGCGAAAAATTGTTACAAACGCGGTAACGGGACAGCGGCCACTCTGTTTGAGTGATTTTTTTTTGCACCACAATGGAGTAAATATTTGCTACCGTTGTTCATAAAAGTCTTGACCATCTCGTAGTTGTGAACACACAGCATCGTACTCTTTGCTTTTTATTTAATAGAGTGCGCGGATTAAATTACCACAAAATATGAAATTACATTACATCAGTGTACAAAACTAATATTTGGTAAGTGGTCCGCAACTAAATACGTTTTTTGGAGTGCAGCAATTTGTCCTAGAATGGCACAGCGTTCCCGACGCGCTGACCACTTACAGAGCGGGAAATATGGCATTTTTGGTTTTACCTATTTACCACTACAGGTACCCATTTCTTCATATCCATACATGCATGTTTATTTCTACACATCTGCATACGTAACATTAGGTTGTACTCACACATATCCATATTGTTTTTTTTATAGCGCAATTCAGAATATATCCAAATATTCGACGTTGTTGCAACAATACAGCACACACACATACATACATACAATCGACATGTACAATAGAAACACGGGTTTTACAAGAATCGGGAAATGCAATTGCTGGAAAGCGCGTACGTGGATTGATTGCCCAACCAAAAAAAACTGAGTCACTGGTTTGAACAAAAAAAAAAAGAAAAACAATGGCGAAGAGGCTGGATTATGCATAATAGAATGAAGCATCAGGTGCACTACTGCGCACGAGGTTCTCACGCAGAAATCATCATCACTGGGAGAAAGAGAGAAAACAGTGCAAATGCAACTAAAAACCATTTATAGCAAGGATGGAGACCGGCAGCAGCCCCTGCAGCACACGGTCGTGCCGTGGTCGCACGCGACAGCACCGCGCCAGACGTCCCCGTGTCGAGAGAATTCGCAAACGTTCGCCCCGGGAAACACTCAGCATCCCGGGTTCGTTGAAATCATCGATCGCCGATGCTAAACAACAGCCTGCTGCCGGAGCGTCACGAGGCGACGGTGGTGTCCGATCGCCGGCTGATGCCAAGTCGCCCACACGTGACGACGACCACTGGTTGTTGTTGTTGTTGTTGTTGCTGTAAGTTGCACCGCTTGATTTCGCTCGTCGCATTATTGTTGGGCGTGCACTGAGCAACGGAATGCGGCTCCGTCGCATGAATTGCGCACCGTTCGAGTTGCTACACTGCACCGAGTTGGTGTTGTTTGGCCTTGAATTGGATAAACGCGCCGGCATCGAGGAACTTTTTGGGACCCGTGAATCACTGGCAAGGCGAGAGGCCTCCATGAGAATCGTGTTCGATGGCTGCTGGTCCTGGCACGAAGTGGAAGCTGACCGGCGCTCAAGCAACGTGATCAGTTCCAGATTTTCCAGCAGTCGCCACAGCAGGCTTCGATAAGCGGTGCTAGCGCGTAACATGAATGCACCATCGTAGTAAATTTTTGCTAGCACATTCTCTTTCAGCACCACGTAACACATCCAGCAATCAATTGATCCTAATCTGAAATGCCCACTGTTTTTTTTAACACACTGCCAACGCACTCTGCTTCGTTTCAGATTCTGTTTGCACTACGACCATTTAAGTAACGCATGACTGATGTATCTACATGAACAGGGACGCAAAACCCCGTGAATATGCAGCTAAATCCAGAAGGACTCAATCACATCACTGCAAATCTTATGGAAAAGGCCATGTCGCCGAAAGGCGAATCGTTTTGTTGTGACTAAGATATTTTTTTTGAAAATTGTTCCGAGAAAA